CACACTAATATTCTCAGTCTATTTCCACTAGTCTTCACTATCCGTTTCCTGGCAACGCATTTATAACACAGGAACTGTAGAAGTCTCACTATATCACACACTGCCAATATCGAAATACTACAGCACATGCAGTTAGTTAGTTAGTTATTGGAGAGGGTGGGTTTCCCCATGCACTTAGACCAGTATTGGTCCATTGTGCTTCCCTCTATTATATTCTACCAGTCTCTATACCCTACCGATATTGGCGCGTACCATCAGTCCCGACCGAGCCAGCGAGTTCGGCCTCTACTGGCTTAGCGGTATCTATAATGCTTCCCCCATCTATCGGAGGCGTTATTGACTACTGTTGGGCGGGAAATGTCCTGAATTTGGCTCAGTTACCTCCTTTGGAGATATGAGGTTCTTTTACGTGCCGTAAAGCTACGACACGGCTTAAAGTCCCTCCCGGAGGACTTGTTCCCTGAATTTTTCCGCCCTTAAAAATTCCACGACCTCCGCCGGGTTTGAACCCGCGTATCACGAGTCATGAGGTGGGAACGTTACCTCTAGACTACGGAGGCCGCTACAGCACATGTAACGTCACACACTAAATCTAATACGTCTTCAATTACACGTCTGTTCCCTTGGAACTTCGGAACTTCAGTGAAGTCAATTCAAGTCAAAGTCAAAGTCACATTGCGACTGACGGCTAGTCAGACAGTAAGTCTTGGTGTCGAGCCCCATCTGGGGCTCATGACCAGATATTATTACCAATTGACAGTTACGGTCTTATTTTTGTGGGGCGCCCTCTCTGACGAGAGGACGAGTCTGTCTTTTACATATGCTGCTGGCCCTTGCCAGCGCGGACTTTCTCGGGTCCGAGTCCCTTGGGGCGTATGTAGTTCTCAGAAGACACGAGTAACTTACCAAAGAAAACATTGAATACGTGAAGTAGCTTCTTCCTCCTGAAGTCAGACATCTCTGAGTGTTTACTGGGTGTTTTGAAATTCAAGTTTCTGTAATCAAAAGAGAGCAAATTGTTTAAGATACCTTCACCATACTGATTTTAGAATATCTTAATCAATATTTTATAAAATAATATAACGGAATAATCCATTGCTAGACAACGCTTCGGTAAACGCCGCCTGAAAGTCGAAAACGGAAGTCTTATTTGCTAGGCAACGGTTCGGTAAACAGTTTCCTGTGGCAACGGATAACACAGATTTGAAATAGTGGCCTATATTCGTGCCGCCTGGAAATTATAAGAGTCACAATTCATTCGTAAGAGAGTTCAATGCGTGAGCAGACACTCGTCGTCCAGTAAGGAATGGAGCGAGTCGTAGACACTAATTGATTCTGAGCTGTCATAATTGATTGTAATTGTGAAGAAGTGCCAATAAATCCAGTCATCCAATCCAGAACCCATTATTATTCGTCACGCAAACCCCGGACACGTGACTAAATCTATTATCTTCCCTGAATAAGGAGGCGATTGATTCCTCCGAAACATTTTTATCTATCTACCAAAATATATGGCATCACATTTTTAGACGACAATGCCCTCAACATTCACTTTCGTGTGCTCCTAAAATCCTAGTTATTGAATATTATACAGGATGTTCAAAAATGAAGACTTTACTTCCAAATGAGTATCGTAATAAAACTTTGGAGGCGAATGTCCTTTTGCTGTTTTGACGAAAACGTCTTAGTTGCGAAGACGTCTCGTTCCAAAATTTGCCATATTTGGTGGATCAAAGATGCGAAACGGAGTTATTTATTATTGATGTCTGTTGGAATGAAATAAAGGGCTTCATGGAGTCAGTGCTTTAAGTGACATCCATCAACTGTCATAGTAGCTCTGCGCGGCGCATAAGGGATGCCAGACTCTTTCCAATATCCCTGGCGTCCCACGAGTGACCTCTCCTGCAACTTTCCCTCGTTGCCAGATGGCATCCTGGGACTTCATCTCTTGTAGTACTACGTGAGAATCTTGCAGGGTCCCCACGCAAGGAACCCCATCGGATTTAAGTCAGGTGAACGTGCTGGCCATGCCATGGTTCCTGCACGTTTATCCCGCCTCTGTGGGAATTGACAGTCTAATCCGTACGCATGCGCGGCGATTGGAATACGCATGCTCCACCAAGAGTGAAGGATATACTGGCAGGTGTGGGGTGTGGGTAATGGAGGGCCATCCACAAGCTTCAGTAGGTTTTCTCTTGTAGAAACTGCAAATAGGTATTGTGACATGTAGGTCCGTTGCCAAATAACAGCTTTGTAAACAGGCGATAGTGGAAGGGAACATCTCTGTGGACATGCTGTTTCCCCGGCAACGAGAAAACACATAATAATGAAAGATATTTTCTACGCGGTCATTCCGGGGCTATATATGAGGACCAGTTGTTCGTTGCAGTTATGAGAAACCGGTAGCTGAGGCCGTGAACACTTTTGGAACACAGAGGAAGGGAAACGTCCGCCGTTGATAGCCGCTACCGAGCAACGGCTAATGAAGATTGAAAAGACTTAATGAGCGCTGTAGTTACAGTGAACTACAGTGGAGTGTGTAACATCGCTGAACTTGAACTGGATTACATGTTCACATGCATACAATTTCACGTCGATACAATTTTTTTATTACTAGTGAGGTGGAACTATTTTTTTATTGCTAGTGGGGTGAGACTAAGCCCCTTGTACTGCGGCCACTTCTGGCCTAATGTACCAGCCCCAGATGATAGGTGAGGGTGATTGTGGAGCAATTGGTGGAATGAAGATTGGCAGGGGAAATCGAAGTACTCGGAGAAAACCTGCCCCAGCGCCACGTTGTCCACCACAAATCTCACTTCACCGAACCCTGGCCGCCGCTGTGGGAAGCCAGCGACTAATCGCTTTAGCTATGGCGCGGCCTACGTCGATACTAAGTCACATATACCCCTTTCGCAAAAGCAAACAAATTTCGATCAGTTTCTGCCAAACGAGACATGAACAAGGACAATGACGGAGGAACTGCCGCTGTGTCCAAACCTCAGTCAGAAGAATACGTCCATGACTGAGGTGTCTGTAATGTGCATGTCCTTTGGATAACGAATAGTGAGTCGTCGAGCTGTAGGACCACGCCTTGTCGGCCGTCCACCTCTCTTTACACAGTACATTAGCAGCCATTGGCCGGATTACAAGGGAAATATAGGCCGAATTCTGGTCAGGACGCTAAGGAAAAGATAACATCTGGGAGAGTGGAAGTTAGCGTCACCCCTCGGCCGTTTAACCAGAGAGAAACAGCTCCTAACAGCCATCGAAGCCTAATCCCTCAGTCATCTTGCCCCATACATTAATCACTGTGCTGACTGAGCTATCCTTGCGTTTTATGACATCAGTGTGCAAAATGCAATTTTTGAACATTTAAATTAAGTTGTTTTAAGCGCCTAAATTTGCTCTGTCCGAAACGGAGTTGAGGGGCCTTAGCAGCAGTTTTTCTTAATCACATGCTACAATCCGGAAGGTCGCCGGTTCGAGTCCAGATGTGGTGGGTTTCTTTCAATTTCCCTGATCCTTCCAACCACACTGTGGCCCTGGGGTCGACTCAGCCTCTAACAGAAATGAGTACCAGAAAACTTCCTGGATGTGAAGGGCGACCGGCGCTATAGACTGACAACTTCACCGCCATCTGTGAGTAGACTGTCTAGAAAATGTGGGAGCCTCGACGTCTCACAACCCTATGGGCCTTCACGGCCTCTTACAGGGATAGCTTATAGAATTTATAAAGTAATCAGATAGCAATTGGACGATTCAAGGCATTTACTGTCTAATGGACTGGACTCACGGGCCACCTGTGTGAGATCACCAATTCATTCAAATCGTGTTAAGGAATAGGATGGGATTGTATGTACTGGATTGATCTGGCTCAGGATAGGGACTAGTAGAGGATTCTTGTGAACACGGTACTGAACCTTTAGGTTTCTGAAATTGCTGGGAAGTTCTTGAGTAGCTGAACAACTGGCGGTTTCTCAAGAAGGGCTGAGCTCCATGAGTTGAGTAAAGAGTTCATCTCACTTTGTGGAGATAAGATTTGAAACTGTCGATACTGTCTTCGCCGTGCCTTTGCGGCAACTTCTCCGCCATCCGTGTGTAGCGTGCAGTCTAGTCTAAGAAGACCAGGCGAATTAAATTATTACCTGATTTGAGGTTCTCTCAGCTATGACTGGAGTATAACGCTGTTGAGGTCCGGTGTAAATCTTCCGATGTTTAGAGGGAACGTATCCCGTACATCTTCAGGGTGGGAAAGTAAACTAAGCAGGAAAGTAGAATGCAGAATGCAGCAAGTAGATCGCTGTTTGTTCCCCGTGACATTCGTGATTTTGCTTAGGTAACTATTCGACCATTGAAGGAACATAACTAATTAAGCGACCTCCGTAATCTAGAGGCAACGTTCCCACCTCATGACTCGTGGTACGCGGGCTCAAACCCGGCGGA